CACACACACACACACACTGACCCACACACTTCTCAATAGACAGTAGTTGAAAATTTGAGAACTAAGATACAAGCTATAGATCTAAATCTAGTGTTATTCATCAGTCACATTAAGAATCGCCCAAGGGCGCATTACTCTCAAAACCTGGTAGATGTTTTAGAGAGAAAATAACAGGAGGCTAGCACAAATTAATCATATTGGCTGCCCGGCTATTGAAAATTTGAAGAGTTGTAAATGGTGCTGTGACGCCATTTTATCGCACTGCGTACATGCCATCGAGCACTCAGTGAATACTGCTGTGACTGTAAAAAAATAGTGAATAGCTTATTGATTACTGAATTTTGTAGATGGTCTTTTATGTAAGGAGGAAAAAAACAGTTATCCGAATAGCACGAATAGTGGCTACACTCTTCGACCAGTCGATCAAGTTTCGTTTTTTAACATCCTCAGTTCAAATGAACTATAGAATATTATTATCAATTCATCCCCCCCCCCTTTCTTCGCCTTTTCTCGTTTAATTTATTGAAATGAATGCGTTTTACGTGCAAGGTCATGATCGATTAAAACTATGTGCACACCGCTCCAAAAAAAGTGAACTGAGCAGAAATAGTGCCAGTGGCACATTTAGTGATAAGAGCCACATAAAATTAGAGTTCACTACTAGCATTGTCTTTTAAATTTGTGAAATACCACCTGAGCAAAGAAAGAAGTTTTAAAGTATATTCACTTCTGACTTCTTGAAACAAAAACGCAGTCAAAGTTATGGGTAGAGTGAAGGGCTAGTACTACCAGAACAATTTTGATTGCAAAACTAAATAAACCAAATTGAAAGATAATAATATTTGTGACAAACGGACAAATAGAATAGATGGATTTACAGAATAAAGTGCTAAGTGACCGGCAAACAAATATTTTAGATACTCAGCGACAGGCAAACAAAAACATAGTTAGCTAAAATGTTAATGCCCTCTATGTCTAGTCTACGTACCGACTCTTGAACTTTTCACATCCATGGCTAATGATGAAAAATGGCTCTGAACAGAAACGGTATTCTCTTTGCTGGTCTTTTTCAGTGCACGTACACCTGAACGAGCAATGTTGAATAAGGCGAAGGGACGGTTGGCTTTATATACTGCAGATGGAAAATCACCTCAAGGACAGACGACCTTGACAAGCAAAGATAGTTCTTAAACCCACTTTTAATACACAGTCAAACAGGGCCAAGTCAGGCAGCGAGCTGAATGAGGCAGCAGTTTTCCCGCCTGCCCAAAACAGCGCATCAAGTCGTACGCAAGCATACCTTTGAAAACACTGATAACACACACACACACACACACACACACACACACACACACACACACACACACACACACACACACACAAAACA